GGGGGCGCCCTACTCCTGGCAGTTATGGCTGATTTGTTCATTGAGCTGGGAGATAGGGCTTGTAGGAAGGGAGGAGGGACTACACACCCTAAGCTATGCTGCTGGGACACAGGCCCTATTGGTGTCTCTTCCCTGCCCCTCAATGGCAGTGGGCTGGGCACACTCCAGGATGTCCCACAGCTTCCTCTATTCTGTCCTTACCACCTTCCCACCTAGATGAGACAGTCCTAAGGATGGATGAGGTGGGCCACATCCCACAGACAGCAGCCAGCCACGTGGGCTCCTCAGACTCTCTCCCCCGGGACGAGCAGCCGCCTGCTGACATGCTGCGGCCTGACCCTCGAGATACCCTCTATCGAGGTAAGGCCTTGGCATCAGTCTGGGGACAGTGCACTGCCAGGTCCATCCATGCTGGTGGAAGAGACTGAGGAGATTTGTCAGTTCTACCTGAGCATCCCAAATGCCATAGAATCTTTTATTTTCCTTGTGAAATACAACATGCATACAGAAAAGTATAAAAGTATTTGTGTGCAATTTTACAATTCTACAGATCATTTCAGAGCAAACACTTGTGTAACCACCATTTAGGATAAGAACCAAAAGCAGAACCCAGAAGGCCCCTGTGGGCTCCCTCCCCAATTACACGTCACAGTCTCTCTTATTGGATTCCAGCTTTTGTCATCCAGTGAGAAAAATATGTTGACACTGAGGTCAACACCCTAAGCCCTGATGTATGATTCTGCTTGGGAGGGCTTACGTTTTACAAGATGATAAAGCTTCTTCCCTCCTCCTCCCCTGTCCCCCCCCACCCCAAATGACAACTGGACACTGAGGGGCTTTCAGCCCATGGAAGGAAATCCAGTTATTGGCACTGCACTAGGGAAGGCTTTGTGGCCTTGTAGGAGTTTCTAGACCTTATTGAGGCTATCCCTGGACAGGGACTCCAAAGCCATACTGTGCTTTGAAGCAGAGCCTGTGTCCTGAGTTCCCTGCCACCAAGATGCTCCTTGAGTGTCCCTGCCCCAGAAGAAGGATGCCGGCCAATTTGACAGGCTCAGACAGTGACAACAACTCTGGCCACAGCTGCTATTAGTGACTACAGGAAGTTGCCTACTCAGGGCAGAGGATTTCAGTCCTGCTTTCAGATTCCTCCATTCCTCTCCTGTTATTGTCCTCAGTGCCTCTGATCCCCAAGTCTCATCTCCGTCATGTCCTGCCTGACTGTCCCTACAAACCCAGCTACCTGGTGGATGGGCTCCCTCTGCAGCGCTATCAAGGACTCCGGTTTGTAAGTCTCAGGCCTGGGCAGGAGGCAGGACTGGGAGAGGGACTGTGCCTAAGACTAGGTTAAGAGGTGAAGAAGCTGACTCCCCTTCTTCCCCGCACCCCATCCCAGCAGACAGGATGGCTACACAAGTCCCTGGGCTGGGGAGAACTTGGGTTCCAAGATGGACTGAACAGATGGATGGCTCTGCAGAGCTTGCACTTGGGTGCTCTGCCTTAGGAACCCCCCGCCATGTGCACACCCCCGAGCTCTGTCCCAGTGATGAGATTAGTTGGCCTGGTCAGGGCTTCTACACTGTCTGCTCCACTCCCACCAGCCAGTCACCAGCAGTATTAGACCCACAGACAAGGCACTGGGGAAAAATGAACTGTGGAGGGAGGTTAGTCGGAGAGAACCCAGAGGCCATGTGGAGACCAGAGAGGCAGAGAGAACACATCTAGCGATGATCACAGGGAGATGCAGGCAGGGAAAAAGAGCTCAGGAGTCATGGCCAGGTCAGAGGATGGGTGGGTATAATTGATGGTGACCTTGGGCCAGGTTTAAGGAGGACAAAGGAAGCAGTGAAGTAAATGAGAGGGTCTTGTCCCAGGACTGTGGGAGGTCTCAGCAGTAGAGGAATGGATGGCAGAGGGGGCAAGGCATGGTATTGGCTACAGCTACCAGCTGGGAACTGGGCAGGAGAAGAGGTTACATGGACTAGGGAACTTGACTTGGGGTTGTGTTTGGTGCAGAGTGCTCAGAGAGCAGGCATAGCAAGTGGAATGGGATCGCAGCCTGCATAACCAAATGCTTCATTCAGAGCTCAGAGCAACCCTCCTGTCCCTGCCAAGGGCTGGTCCCTAGGAGCCCTGTATGATCCCGACCAGGGGCAGGCTTAACCCCAGTATACTGATTTCTTACCAGGGTTCTACCCTCCTTTCCTGCTGCTGATGCTTTGTCTATTTCTAGGTTCATCTGTCCTTTGTTTACCCCAATGACTATACCCGCCTGAGCCACATGGAGACCCACAATAAATGCTTCTACCAGGAAAATGCCTACTACCAGGACAGGTGAGTGACACTGAGTGGGGCAAAATGATGGCCTTGCAGGGGGCTCTGCCAGAGCCAGGAGAGCTGCCTGACCTGGTGTGGCCAGAAGATGCGCCCTGGCCCAAGGAAGTTTTGCTCTTCCTGGGCATTTCACGCACTCACAGACACACATGCTCACCCAGGCTCCAGCCTCTATGCTGTCCTGGGGGCAGGACTTCAGGTTCCTGCAGGGCAGAGCAGGGCCCAGCCTGTGGTCCGGGCCATCCATACTTGCCTTCCTCCACAGGTTCAGCTTTCAGGAGTACATCAAGATTGACCCGCCTGAGCAGCGGGGGCCAGAGCAGCCAGGTATGGAGTGATGGCTGAGGCTTCCAGGTCAGACCATGCTTCTAGGGGAAGTTCAGACCATGCTAGCCCTGCCCCTGAGGAACTTAAAATCCAGGTCACATGGCCCCACCCCCATACCCAAAGGAGAGCAGTTCTCTGCCTTTTCCACATCAAGGTACGGGTAGAAAATGGGTAGAAAATGACACCATTTTAGTAGCATGCCAGGGTCAGCTAGAGATTACTTGGACTGCTTGAGGGGTCACTGTCCCTGCCGCATAGTTTGGGATATTTTACTCTAGAGCAGCACTTTCTTCTTGGGGCCACATGCTGGGTCCCTCCAGGTTCCAGACACCTGCCAGGCACTTTATGTAGTTAATATCACTCAATCTTCACAATAACCCTGTGGGAGATGGATTATTATTCCCATTATGCAGATGAAGAACTGGGGTTAATTGAGATTGCATACCTTGCCTGGATTCAGCTCAGTCTGGTGCCCCTTGGTGGGTCACAAAGGTGGTCATCAACTGTCTTGTATGGCTTGCTGGGAATAGGTGGAAAACTTGACACGAGGAATGGTTGTTATTAACAACAGGTTTTGAGGAGGGCCTTCTAGAAGAGTCTCAGTATGGAGAAGTGGCAGAGGAGACCCCCACCTCCAATGACCAGAATGCCAGGATGCTGGAGAGAAAACAAACGCCTACCTCTACCCCCCAGCAGGATGTCACTGACTACCACCTCCAAAACCTGAGGAGACTATTGGCTCAGCCTCGCCCGGGCCTGCTGGCACCCTTTTCCAAATGGAATTCCACAGGTCTCTTCCCAATGAGGACCAGCGACATCCCAGTCCAGAATCCGAAGAAGAGAAAGAAGAAACCTAGCCCTGAGCCCAGCCAAGTTTCACCTCATTCTGACAAGTGGCCTCCTGGACACCTGGCAGGCAACCCACCTCCAATGAAGAGGCCCAGGTCCACCAGTGATGGCCCTAGGAAGACTCTTGGGCAGTCCCAGTGGCTGAACCAAGTGGAGTCATACATTGCAGAGCAGAGAAGGGGTGATAGGATGGAGCCTCAGGTCCCTGGGAGGGGTTGGCAGGGGGAGGAGGAAGTGGTAGCAGCTGCTAGCCAGGAAGGACAAGTGGAGGGAGAGGAAGAGGGGGAGGAAGAGGAAGAGGATATGAGTGACATGTTCGAGTATGTACCTGTGTTTGACCCAGTGGTAAACTGGGACCAGACCTTCAGTGCCCAGAATGTCGACTTCCAAACCCTGAGGACTGACTGGATTGATCTGAACTGTAACACATCTGGCAACCTGCTGCTTCCAGAACAGGAGGCTCTTGAGGTCACACGGCTCTTCTTGAAGAAGCTCAACCAGAAGAGCGGGGGGTAAGGTAAAGGGCTCTCCTGGGGCCAGAGCCTGGAAGGCTGGGGGCCAGTAGTAGGTTCCCTCTACCCCAGGAATAGCTGGAATTACCCTCCAATGCAGGCTCCTAGGAGGGACACTGGTTGAGCCCTCATATCCCTGGGGAGGATTTTGACCAGTCAGATCTTTGTCTCACTATTAGGTGAGGTTCTGGCCCAGGACATTTGTTGAAGACTGGGAGGACTTGGTAGGAGTGACCCCTCCCTCAGGGAAGGAGCTAGTAAAAAGATAAACAGGTAAAACAGAGACTAAAAAATACAGATTAACTGAGTCTCGAATTAACTGAGCTCATGACTTCGAGACCAGCCTAAGCAAGAACAAGACCCTATAAAAATATATCCAGGCATTGTGGTAGGTGCCTGTAGTCCCAGCTACTGGCGAGGCTGAGGCAAGAGGATCACTGGAGCCCAGAAGTCTGAGGTTGCTATGAGCTGTAATGCCACAGACACTCTACTGAAAGTGACGAAGTAAGATTCTGTCTCAAAAAAAGAAATAATAATACAAATTAAGACCCCACATACAGGCTGAAAGGACTAGGGAATGAGGCATACTAGAGTTCTTGTTTTGTCGTTTGTTCATTTAACCTATCAGCATTTTTTGAGATTAAATTCACCATTTTAGAGTGTACATTTCAGTGTTTTAAAAGTATATTCATGGTGGCACAGTCGACAGGGTGCCAGCCACATACACCTAGGGTGGTGAGTTCGAACCCAGCCTGGACCTGCTAAGCAACAATGACAAATGCAACCAAAAAAATTGCTGGGCGTTGTGGCAGGCACCTGTAGCTACTTGGGAGGCTGAGGCAAGGGAATCACTTAAGCCCAAGAGTTTGAGGTTGCAGTGAACTGTGATGCCATGGCACTCTACTGAGGGTGACAGCTTAAGATTCTGTCTCAAAAACAAAAAGAAAAAATAAATAAAATAAAATAAAAGTATATTCACAACATTATACAGCCATCACTACTATCTAATTTCAGAATTGTTTTCATCACATTTTATTTATTTATTTTATTTATTTTTTGAGATAGCCTTACTCTGTTGCCCTTGGGTAGAGTGCTGTGTATTATCATAGCTCATAGCAACCTCAAACTCTTAGGCTCAAGAGATCCTCTTACCTCAGCCTCCCAAGTAGCTGGTACTATAGGCACCTGCCACAACACCTGCCTAATTTTTTGTCTGTTTATTAGAGCCAGAGGTCTCACTCTTGCTCAGGCTGGTCTTGAACTCCTGAGCTCAAGCCATCCACTAGCCTCAGTCTCCCAGAGTGCTAGGATTACAGGTATGAGCCACCGCACCTGGCCTTGACCTCCCACCTTTTTTGCCGTAGGAGATACCAGCTACAGCGCATTGTGAATGTGGAGAAGCGTCAGGACCAGCTGCGTGGGGGTCGCTACCTCTTGGAGCTTGAACTGCTAGAGCAAGGCCAGCGCCTGGTGCGGCTCTCTGAATATGTGTCTACCCGAGGCTGGCAGGGCATTGATCCAGCTGGTGGGGAGGAGGCTGAGGCCCGGAACCTGCAAGGCTTGGTCTGGGGCCCACACAACCACCGGAGGCATGTCCTGAATGTCAGAGCCTCAGAGCCCAAGCTGTGCTGGCCCCAGGGTTTCTCATGGAATCACCGAGCC